GGGAGCTCTCGGGGCACTGGCAGCACTACAGCCCCCACATCTTCTCCATCCCCGCCGCCCCCGAGACCCTCTCCCTCAAACCCATGAACTGCCCGGCCCACTGGTGAGTGAGGGGGGCCCCGGGGCGCCCCAGAGGGGCTCCTGGAGGCTCTGCCCGTCTGTCTGTCCGTCCCCAGCCTGATGTTCGCCCACCGGCCGCGCTCCTGGCGGGAGCTGCCCCTGCGCCTGGCGGATTTCGGGGTCCTGCACCGCAACGAGCCCCCCGGGACCCTGACGGGGCTCACGCGGGTCCGGCGCTTCCAGCAGGACGATGCCCACATTTTCTGCACCCTGGAGCAGGTGGGTGTGTGTCCCCTGACCCCTCCCTGACCCCCAAAATGCATCACCTGCCCTCCCTGACACCCCTTTTCCCAGCTGGAGAGCGAGATCGATTCCTCCCTGGATTTCATCCGGACCGTCTACGCCGTCCTGGGCTTCTCCTTCCGCCTGGCCCTGGCAACGCGTCCCGAGGGGTTCCTGGGGGACCCCGACACTTGGGATCGCGCTGAGCAGGTGGGATGATGCCCCCTGTGTCGTGTCCCCCCCTGCACTGTCCCCTCCTGACCCCCCCCCAATCCCTCCCTGCAGCAGCTGGAGCGGAGCCTGCGGAATTTCGGGCAGCCTTGGGAGCTGAGTCCGGGAGACGGCGCCTTTTATGGGCCCAAGGTGAGGGATTTTGGGGAGGGAGGGTCCCCAAAGGAGGCAGACGGGATCCTTTGGGAACCTCCCATCCCTCTTACTCCCGACAGATCGATATCCGGATCCGGGATGCGCTGGGGAGGCACCATCAGTGTGGCACCATCCAGCTGGATTTCCAGATGCCGGAGAGATTCGAGCTGGAATATGCCAGGTATTGGGGCAGGATTGGGCTGGGAGGGCAGAATTGGGGATTGGGATGGGTGGGGTCAGGGTTGGGGTGTGGGGATCAGGATTGGGGCTGGGGGAGCAGGGTTGGGGCTGAGAAGTGTCTGAACTGGGATGGAGAGGGAAGAATTGCGGACTTGGAGGGGATCAGGATTGGAGGGGGGGATCAGGATTGGTGGGGTGTTCAGGATTGGTGGGGGGAGGAGGATTGGGGCTGAGGAGTGTCAGGGTTGGGATAGGAAGGGGAGAGTGGGGGATTTAGGGGGGTGGGGATTGGGGCCGGGGAGGGTCAGGATTTGGGTGGCGGGGCAGGACTGAGGCTGGATGGGGCAGAAATGGGCTGGGTGGTGGTGGTGGGGCCCCCCTGCCCCTCTGACCCCCTGTTCCCCCCAGCCCGAGCGGGGGCCCGGCGCGGCCGGTGCTGATCCATCGGGCCGTGCTGGGCTCCGTGGAGCGGATGGTGGCTGTGCTGGCCGAGAGCTGCGGGGGGAAATGGTGAGGGGGAGCCCCAAAAACCCCTCCTGCCTCACCCCCCAACCCCTGGGACAGCCCCCAACCCCTGGCACACACTTAATCCTAAGGGCACCCCCAATCCCTGGGAGACCCCCGTCCTGGAGACACCCCCCCAGTCCTCAGGGCCCCCTCATGTTCAGCATCACCCCTGTCCCAGGGTG